ACCTAGGGTGGGCGGGGAGGTGAGGAGCTTACCTTTGGTGTCCAGTTCTGACAGCGGCCCCAGAAGGCTCTTCTTCTTGTCGGCCACGGCTGCTGCCCGAGCCCCATCCTTCTGCTCCTCCAGCAGGTCCTCCTGTGCCCAGCGCTGCGAGTAATGCTTCCCTAGAGGGGGGATCTGCAGAGACACCGCCCGGCCCAAGACACTGAGCACTGGCCGGTCATGCCTGGGGCACATGCAGGCTCTTGGTGCACTTGGGCACAGCCGGTAAGCTCCTCATCTGATGTCCATCCGTCCATCCACCCACCTCGCTGTCTCTCCGAGTGCAGCCCCAGCCCTGCCTCCCCCTTTACTGCTGCTTGCACTACCTCTCGAGCGAGCATCTTGCCCTGGCTCCAGGCTCAGAGAGGGGGTCTGGGGGAATTCCTTATCCGAGGCCACAGCAGAAAGTTGGTCTGCCCACTGTGCCAGGACGGGAGCCCTGGTGGTGTATGGCTATGCATTGGGCTGCAAACTGCAGGGGCAGACGTTCGAAACCACTGGGAAGAGACCCTGTGGGTCCTGGAAGTTTGGGAAGGGCAGGGTTGGGTCATGAGCCCCACCCGCTCAGCTCTGCATCTTCAATGGTTTCTCTAACGGAGAGCGTCTTATTCTCATGATGAAAAATACACTTTGACTCCTAGGAAAACGAGGGGTGGGGGGTCAGAGAGGTCCCTCTGGAGGCCTAAAGCATGAAGACTATTGGCGAGGGTGTTTTGGGAACGCTGATGAAGGTTTCAGACAAAGGCTGAGGCTCAGGGAGGACTCTCCTGAAGCGGACAGCCACCTCGGGCGGTAGAGACCCTGTGGGTAAGTGGAGGGGAGGCTGAGTCTGAGCATGGGCCCAGTGAGTTAGGAATGGGTGGCTGGGCAGGGGTTGGGGACAAAGGATGATGCATGGCTTTGCTCTGTTCCGAAACACCTTCCCAGCACCCTCAGTCTCCACCCCATCTACCAAAGCCCAGCATTTCTACCTTGTAATGTTCAGCTTCATCTTCCGGGGGCTTCAGCAGTTCCTCGAGCGTGCGTACCTCCTCGCTGGTGATGTCAGCACAGTAGGGCTCCACAGATGCCCAGAACCTGCAGAGCAGCACATCCTGAGTGGATGTCCCCAGCCCGGCGAGCCTCAGCCTTGGGCCACTCTGCTCCCAGAATCCCGAGACCCCCTATCGGCCGCTGGACCAGCACCTGTTGGGGGCATCATTCTTGGGGATGCGAGGCACATCGATGGGGTCATCAGTGAATTCATATTCCTGGATCTTGGGCTGTATATTCTTGGATTTCGGTCGCCCAGGCCCAGGCCCAGGCCCATGTCCCGCCTTCCCCTCCAGTTTCTGCTTCTTGGGCTTCCCATGTTTGGGGGGAGCCCCAAGTTCATGCTCTCGCCCGAGCTTCAGGAAGCGTCGGTCACCTTTCTTATCCTGCCAGTCTGTGAGGATCTGAAATGCACAGAGACCTGTGTCATTGGGAGGGGTGGGGACAGAGAGACACAGGGCATTTTCCCCAATGAATAAACTCAGGTCTTGTCTTTCCCCCATCTTTTTTATTTAGCAAACTCCTGTGCATCCTTGAACACCCAGTTCCTTTCCTCTGCCCATCTCCCAGATTTCTACTTGTATCACCACCATGCCACTCCCATCCCACTTCCCAAGGGTGTAGGACTCAGTCAATCAACATCTCAGCCCACTGCCATCAAGCTGATTCCAACTCTCGGCTACTCTATACAGGGTCTCCAAGACTGTACATCTTTATAGAAGCAGATGACCTCTTCTTTCTCCTACGGGGCAGTAGGTGGGTTTCAACTACCAACCTTTTGGCTAGCCATCAAAGGCCTACCCCACAGTGCTACCAGGGCTCCGACTATTTAGCACAAGTTGAAATAATTAACACCCCAGGACATGTTAGCCCTGGCCAAGTGCTAGTGGTAACGTTTTCATGAAGGCAAGCAAGGCTTCCATCAAACCGCCACATCACACATCACCACGAGCAGAATGTCTTCTCTACGGTAGATGCTCAGAGACAAGTCTGTGCCACAGCCCCACTCAGCATCTTCCATGGATGCCCAGGGACTGCAGGTGGACCCTACACCTCCTTTGAGACCCAGTGGAAATGGCATCTCCTCCCTTGGGGAGTCGCTGGCCCCCTGACCTCCAGCGGAGCCTCAATCATGGTGTCTGGGCAAACTGGAAAGTGTATGCGCCATCTCTCTGACTACATTCTCAACTACTGGAGACCGGGAAGCATCGTCCTCATCTCTGTTGTCCAGGACCTGGTACTGTGGTCGGCACACAGGGCTGGGGATATTCATGCAGTGAGTGCAAATCATCGTCGTAGTAACAGTAAACAACTCCTGCAATGCTTACTCTCAGGCACAGAGCCAAGCCTCTGCAAAATTCTCTTTGAATCCTCACTAAAGCTTTGAGGTAGGTCCATTCCGCAGATGGGTAGATGCTCTCGAAGCAGGCAGGGGATACTGTGTGAGGCATGGAAGAAGCCAGAAGTGGAGTCTTCCAGATTTGTATAGCATCTCAGGGGCACATAGTAGGCCTCATAGCCGGCCTGTAGTAGGCGGAGGTGGGGTAGGGGTGGGGGGGTTGAGCCCTGTAGAAAGGCCGGCTCTGTGTGTGGAATAGAGCTTCTCAAAGTACATGCACTCTGCTCTCCTGGTTGGGAGGGGTCCACACTTCCGTATCCGCTCTCCTGGGCACCTCCTGCTGCCTCTGCCCCACTGAAGGGTCTCTCTTTTGTGTGGTCTTCACCCAGGCTCTGCCCTGGTCCAAACCAAACCGTGTCAGCCTGACTGTAGGATGTAGTGGTGCTGTAGCCTCCCTCCCCATTTCCCCCCCTCCCTTTGATGAATGACTTTTCCTTGACCACATAGATAGGTCAGATTGGTACTAGCTAGAGCTTAGCGCCAGATTCCAATCCAGGTTTTGCCACCTAGTTCTTCTAGCCATAACCATGGTCTGGTGCCTGTCTACCTCCTGCTCCCTCCGGTGAGCAAGTTGCTGAGGACCAGACTTGTCTTCATGACCTCTCTCTGGCATAGTGCTTAGTGCGTTAGAGCAAGGAGCCTGCGTGGCACAGCGGTCAAGTGCACCACTGCTAACGGAGAAGTTGGCGGGGTGAAGGTACCCGCTGCTCCACAGGGGAGAGGCGTGGCCATCTGCTTCCATTAAGATTAGAAACCCTATGGCACAGTTCCCCCCTGTCCCACAGGACTGCTATGTCAGAGGCAGTTCCGTGGCAAAGCGCCTGGATATCTGGTTTTAGAATTCTGCATCCTGCAGTGTGTGGGGATCATGCACATGCTTGGGGGGAACCTATGTGTGAATATGCATCAACCTCTCTAAGCATCCCCCCCACCCCTCCCCTGAGGTGATGCTAGTCTCACCAGTCCAGGCTGGCACCACCAGCCCCTTCCGGGCCCATAAGCCTCCATACCCCTGGCCTCAGTGGCTGAAGCGAACCCCCTAGGCCTGCCACAGTGCGGCCCTGGCGCATCACCTGGGTTTCAGCCTCCAGCACTCTCAGGCGCCGGCTGGCAGACGACAGCAGGGTCTCCAGCTCCAGCTGCAGGGTGTCCAGCTCCTCGATGCCGATGCCATCATCCTCAGAGCGGGCCAGCACTGCTGTGTAGCGGGGGCAAACCTTCAGGTGGTCCACAGACTTGAAGTCATGGAACTGCAAGGGACAGTCCTTCAGCTCGCTCATGGCCCGGGATAAGGGACTCTGTTGGTGTGGAAAGGAAGGTCGGTGGGGGCAAATTGTCCTGGGAAAAGCCTAGGGGCTGCTGCCACTACAAAATGTTGCTGGCACGCTCTTACCCACAGAGCACCCTCGGGGCACCCTGTAAGGCTTTTTTTGAGTGACCCTCAAGTAAGCCCAGAAGCAGGGACCATTGCCATCTCCATTTCAGTTAGACCAACTGAGACTCACAGGGTGGGCACATGCCTAAGCTTACAGACGTGTAATCTGAACCCCTCATCACCACAATAACACGTGCCCTGTCTGTCTTTTCCTGTGCTTCCCTTCTGTCTCCTTCCTCCCAGGGGGCAGGTTTCTCAGTCTAACCAAGTTGTCTGTGTCTCATGCTCTCTGTACCCCAACCCTTCCTACAGGGCTCCCAGTTCCCTTTTCCGGCTCTTGACAGTGGTGAGAACGTGGGTACCCAGACAGCCCTGAGTTCAAGCTCAGTCTTTACCATCCTCTGCTTGGGACCCTGAACGTACTGTTTAACCTTTCTGCAACTCGGTTCGACCATCTGGGAAATGGTGACAAAAGAGAAAGGCAAAATCCACTTGCCTCTCGGAATCACTTTTCCCGTCTGTAAAATGGGAGTAGCAACCGTACCTACCTCCCTGGGATGTTCTGAGGATTGAGTTGGTGCCCGTCAAAAGCTTAGCAGTTTAGCTCTGTGTTGGGCACGGAAGAAGTGGGGCGGTTATAAGGGTAGACCCCGCCTGTGGTCCAACCCAAAGCCCGCCTTCCACATCCCCGTCCTCTAGGGACCGGCTGGTGTTGGGGGACAGGTGGGGGACGCCTTCTAACCCTCCCGACTGAGGCCTCCTCCGCCCCAGGGCCGCAGGAGGGGGCGGGGAGTTCCGGTCGGTGGGAGCCACCGCCCCGGAACTGGCGATGGGCGCGACCCCTGCAGGGGGACCGGGGGTGGGGAGACGGCGGACGGTCCTACGGTGGCCCCCGGGAGCTCGCTGCGGGCGGGATGGTACCCCTAAGGCGTACCCTACAGAGCCTGGGGCTAGGGGGCGGGGCGGGGCGCGGCGGCCGGAACCTCGCGACGGCCTGCCGGGTGTCCGCGGGTGTCCGCGGGTGGCAGGTAGGAGGGGCCCGGAGAAAGGATGGGGACGCGGAACCGGAAGGAACTCAAGGCTTCACCGCCTCACCCGGTCCTAATATGGTGCCCAACTGGCGCCTGGGCTGTACCATTGCGTGACGACGGGGAGAGGAGGTGGCGAAGGCGACAAGACAGTCTGAGACATCCGCGAGCGCTGCGTGGGCACCGGAGAAGCCCGACGGTCTCGGTATCACTCTCAGAGCCTAATCGTTCCAAGATCGTTCCTGCCGGAAGTGTCCCCGAGGGTTCCAGCGTTCCGAGACGCCCAGTTCCCCCCGCTCGGGAGCAGAGATGGTACCGTCCGGAGGCCGGGCGGAGACTGCGGCTGCGCTTCTCCAGAAAGGGCAGGCGGCGCGGGGCCGGCCACTTCCGCACTTCCGCTTTCCGGCCCAGCCAGCCTCCGCGATGGTGAGAGACGGGGCCCCCAGCCGGGGACCCCCGCCGCCGCTCGACGCCAAGGCTCTGGGTCGGGAGATCCGGCTCTGCCGCCGAGAAGCGCGGGACGAGGGATGCGGGGGTCCCCTGGGTGCCCGAAGAGGCTGGGAGAAGGAGGGTGGGGCGCGGCGGGTGCGGGAGGAGGGGGCGAGCGCGGTCGCGGGGGACGCACTGGCAAGAGGCAGACCTTGTGTATTTGGGGGGCCCCCCCTCTCGAGGCAGGTAGGGGATCCTATGAGGCAGGTAGGGGATCCTATGAGGCATGGAAGACGCCGGAAGTGGGGTCTCCCAGATTTGTGTAGCATCTCAAGGGCACGTAGTAGGCCTCATAGCCTGCCTGTAGTAGGCGGGGGTGGAGGTAGGGGTGGGGGGTTGAGGACTGTAGAAGGGCCGGCTCTGCGTGTGGACTAGAGCTTCCTGAAGTACATGCACTCTGCTCTCCTGGTTGGGAGGGGTCCACACTTCCGTATCCGCTCTCCTGGGCACCTCCTGCTGCCTCTGCCCCACTGAAGGGTCTCTCTTTTGTGTGGTCTTCACCCAGGCTCTGCCCTGGTCCAAACCAAACCGTGTCAGCCTGACTGTAGGATGTAGTGGTGATGTAGCCTCCCTCCCCTTTTATAGATGTAGGTGTTCCTGGCTTCTCACCTTGCCCTCCTGTACACGGCCTGGTGGGACCTGTTTTGGGCCTATGGCTTTCATGCCCCTCCATGTGCTGGGGTCTCTTAAATTGGCCTCCTTCCTTCTGGTCACTTCCCAGGTTTGCCTGGGAATCTCCATAGCATCGGGAAAGCAGGTCTCCAGATCAAAACCCATCATCTCCCCTCCTAAACTCGCTTGCAATCTCTCTCGGATTCTCTGCCCTCTGACCTTAGCTAGAAGCCAGGTGGTTCTTTTTTGGACTCCTTTTTTCCCCATTGGCTTCTTGAAAACCAAGTGTATTGAGGTGTTAGGGAAAATTATGCCGATTTTATTTACAGACGGACAGGTGTCATCAGGTTGCCCTGCCCCCCCCCAAAAAAAAAACAAAAAACCTCACCCCCTTTTAGGTTTAGATAAAGAAATAACTACTGTTGAGTTGACTCCAACTTATAGCAGCCTAACGTACAACAGAAGCAAAGTGGCCTGGTCCTGTGTAACACAGCCACCTGCTTGACCATGCTAGGCCTTCCAATTGGTTCAGCCTAGTTGACGGAAGCATTTATCAGGGGGATTTACATTTTTTTAATGTCCTGAACTTGAATGGGAAATATGACTGGTCGAAGAAAGCCCTGCTTGAATCTGAGTCTCCTTAGAACATAGAGCACCATGCATCTTGCCTAGCAGCCAGATCTGCTGAGTTGAAGACATGCCCCTGCTCAGAGATGTGCTGCTTTGAAAGTGTTGGCCTCTACCAAAGAGAAACAAACTCACTGCCATCAAGTGAACGCTAACTCCTAGCCAGGAGCCTGTCGATCTGGGTAGAATGGCCCCTGTGGGTTTCCGAGACTGTAACTCGTTGTGGGAGTAGAAAGGCCTGAGATCTCCACAGTTGTGACCGTAATGCAGTGCCTTGAAGCAGGCTCCAGAAACCCCTCCTCGCCTCCCTGTCAAGGACTTCCACCTGTCATTTGTGGGTGTTCCAGATCACCCAGAGTTTTAAGATCAGGATCTGTGTCAGTTTTGCTTTGAGTGGCCCCGGTTCTTGAGCTGCCTCACTGAGGGTCTTGTTGGCCCTCGGTTTCACTAACCGTGTGGTCTGATCTCTTCCTCTAGTTATTTTTCATCCTGATGACATGTTGGACATGCTGTGAGCCCCGGTGGCACAGTGGTTTCATGTTGAGCTGTTAACCAAAAGGTCAGCCGTTCGAAACCATCAGCTGCTCCCTGGGGAGAAAGGTGGGGCTTTCTACTCCTGTAGAAAGGTACTGTTCTCGGAAACCCTGCCCTACAGGGTCGCTGTGAGACGGCATCAACTTGGTGGCAGAGAATTTGTTTTTTTAGTTTGATAAGGTTTTTGTGGTTGGTTTTGGGGAGTGAATCACCAGGCCTTTTCTCCCCTGTCTTACCTGGAAGCTTCTACAGAGACTGTCTACGGTGGGTGATCCTGCTGCTATGGGAAGTCCTGGCACCACAGTACCATGCACCAATGCATGGGGAGTTTTAAGCTCAGCGTCTACGAATGTAGACGGACACATGGTCATGTAACCACTACTGGTAGCAGTCAACGTTTAGAATATTTCCGTCATCCCCAAAAGTTCCCTCAAACCCCTTCCAGATCAGTTCTTTACTCATCCAGTTTAGGCCACCACTGATTATTTTGGGCTTCTTGCCTGTACTATGACAGATTTGAAAGTTGTCCATGGGGGTAGGTATCCTGGGGGGCGCACGGTGTGCTGGGGGATGCCCCTTTGCTTGCACTGCACTCTGTTGATCCCATCCCTTTCCCTTCTGACGGCCCCAGTCCGGGCTCCCTGCAGCTCTGGCTGCACCACCCTTTCTGCCGTGGGTCTCACTTCCCTCTCTCATCCCTTCCTGACCCAGCCGTCCTGCAACTTCCTCCTCACCACCCCCAAAGAAAGCAGCTCCCTAGCTTGGCCTTCTAGAACTCCACCAGCTCGCATCTTCCAGGATGCTCCTGTGGACTGCATCGCTGTACTTACCCCTCTGGGAGCTCTCACTACCCTTTTGTGTTCTTTTGACTTTGTCGAAGTTATGCTGTCATCCTGTCTGCAGCAACTGAAAGGCCTTTGTATGCATCAGCTCCCGAGCTAGGAACCAGGGTTTAGAAATGTGACTACCAGACTGGCCGACTTCACAGCCCTTAGGGTTTGTGAGAGACAGCCTGCAGGAGACATGAAGGCTGTATTGCAGATTGTAATAAATACTGTGAGGGAGGAACACCGGTGGCGTGAGATTGAGTTCAGGGGTCCCTACTTTAGAGGGAAGGCCTCTGAGGAAAGGGGACCCTTCCTCGCAAAGCTTCGCAAAGAAAGAGGAGAAAGGCTGGCCAGTAGCTGTATGGGCCTGTGTGCAGCAGCCCCGAAGTGAGGGCACAGCTTGTTTCTGGGCCAGGCCGGTGTGGCTGGCAGCTGCGCTCTCCACTAGGTGTGGCCTTGCTCTGCCTTTTCTCAAAAGACCCCGCTAATCCCATCTCGCTCTTCAAACTGAGCTCAGTTTCTCCTGCAAGTAAGTCACGTTTCCGCCTCTGCCTCCCCTGCTAGGTTGCGTTCTTTCGAGGAGGGTACAGGTGGGTTGGGTCAGCTCTGAAGTCCCGCCCCCAGCCCTGCGCCCATGGCGCGCTGGCAGTGTGACGTTAGCCCTCACTTGCAAACAGGTCCGAGGTGTGAACCCCCAGCATGTCTGTTGTGTGCCTCTGTAACAGTGGCGACTGGGGAACCCCACAGAGCGAGCGGTCTGTCCCTGGGGCTGCTGTGTGGCCCCGACTCGATGGCAGAAGCAGCCCCTCAGAGCCTGGCACACAGTCGTGGGTTTGCCCAGTGGTGGGCTCCGTGCCCAGCTTGAGGACTCTCGGCTGGGTGCCTCTCGAACAGAGCTGCCCAGCTTCACACTGCACAGCAGGGCTGGCTACCTAACGCTCGGTTGTGGGAGTCTGCACATTGGACCCCATGGATGTTAGCACTCACACCCGTACCCTTGTGACAAAAGTACTTTAACACTGCCAAATGTCCCCTGGGGGACCCCCACCACGCTTCGAGAACCTGCTTGTTATAGTCCCTGTAGTGTCTTAGAGCCAGGGACCCCTTGAGCAAGGCCCCCAATACTGCCGGTCCAGTGTGTGCCGGAGCAGGGCCTACCAAGGGCTTGAGTGGGAGGGGCGGTTTTATGGATACTGATCCCTACTCCCCCACCCCCCCATTCTGGGTTTTTTCCTGCAGACTGCCACTCTCCGCCCCTACCTGAGTGCCGTGCGAGCCACGCTGCAGGCGGCCCTCTGCCTGGAGAACTTCTCCTCCCAGGTCGTGGAGCGGCACAACAAGCCCGAGGTGGAAGTCAGGTAGGGTCGGCAAGGTCGCTGGGGATGAGCAGTGGAGCCCCAGCAGAGGGTGCAGGATGCCGTCAGCGCGTGCATGCGTGCCCTGGGTGTGTCCGGACAGACTGCTCCTCACTGAGGTCGTCCGCAGCCGGACGAGTGGTTCTCGGTGTCCAGTTCCGAAAAGAGTCCCTCGGTTGGCAGGGGAGCAGCTCCCCCGGAAGCGAGGCTGACCGACCTGGGTGTGATTCTGCAGCCTGGGACTGTGTGCACGCGTCTCCCGTCTGGGGCGGTACTGAACCTGGTGACAGTCCCAGGAGAGGAAGGAGCCAGCCGCTGTCTGGGCTGCTAGCACTGGGCTCTTCTCACTTCTGGACTCAGGTGCTCCCCCACCACTACCGCTGTAGGCCCTTTACTTCTTAGTTCACACCTTCTCCTCCAAGTCCTTCTGTGTTCTTTTATGTAATTTCAGGGTTTGTAAGTAAATTTCTCTTTCCCCCTTAAACATTGTACCTGGGGTCACCAGCAGTGTTAGTCACCACAGTACCTAGGTGACTGTACCAGGCTCATGTGTGAGCACCAGCCAATACAGGAGGCGCCCTCCCACCCCCACCCCACTCCCGCCCTGTCTGCGTGGTCCAGAGTAAACCAGTCTGGATTGATGACTGCCCCTGACCCTAAGGCATGCTCTTTCATCGCTCACTCTGTAGATGGTGTACTGGTTTGCCAGTAGTGCCAGTAAGACTTAGCATGTGTAGGGTTCCTGTTTTGTGCTGGGCACGCCAGTGGACATTTGAGCCTCTCTTCGGTGTCCCTCCATTCTCAGTGAACTAGTAGGAGTCAGAGTCACTGTGTACAAACAGTAACTTGCCCAAGGAAAGTAAGAGGCCTGACTTCAAAGCCTTTCACCCTGACTCCAGAGCCTGGGCCCTTGCTGCTAGAGAATGCACTTGCCGGCCCCGGTCTGACAGCATCTAGCTGGTGAGGCTCTCGGATCTGCTGGGTGGTGGTGGTGTGGTGTCTTCCTGGGTGCTGTGTCCTTCTGTCGTGCAGAGGCCTCTGTGATTGTTTCCAGGAGTAGCAAAGAGCTCCTGTTGCAGCCGGTGACCATCAGCAGGAATGAGAAGGAAAAGGTTCTGATCGAGGGCTCCATCAACTCTGTCCGGGTCAGCATCGCAGTGAAACAGGTGAACGCACCACCCAGGCCTTGCCTCCCCGGGGGCTCAGGTAGACATCCTCTCCCCAGCCTGGCACTCCCACCCACTAGGTGAGTGTGGCCGATCAAGGGTGCAGGAAGCTAGGCTCTACTGGGGTGGGCCCACTCAGTCACGAAGCAAGAACCACCCCAACTCCCAGGCCTTGTGATGGGGGAGAATGCAGGTCCAGAAGCAGCCATTGAGGAGGTCTAGTTGGGGCAAAGAAACAGTAGCAGTACCCAGTCGATACACGCACAGACAGCAAAACAACACAGGACCTTACAGGTTTCTCCGGCTGCATCTCACAGAGGGGCTGTCATCCCCATCACCTTTGCCAAACTCGGGACAGTCTGGATAGTTATTTACTTAATAGATTCCTTTAAATGAGTTTGTTTTCTTTTACTTAAACTCTGCAAAAGAAACTTTATATCCCTACCTTAAATAGAAACAGTATCGCTGGCCACAAATCGAGGGCAGCTCTGAAAATAAACACAATGAAAACAAAACATGGTGTTCAGTCCAGCCTAGGCGCTGTGTGGCCCACTCTGGCGGCCGGCTGTCTGTTAAGAGGAGAAGTCAAGGAGAACCGGCAAGTGCTGTGGGCACAGCGGCACCCAGCTGCAGAGCCCTACCTTTGGAGTCGTTGAACAGAGAGAAGAAACTTGGGGGTTGGTGTGGTGTTACCTTAGAGACCACCTGAGCATCTCTGCTTGCCCTGGTGGTAGATGTTGCCCTCTGGGAAAGGCAGCAGTAATGAAAGGAGGGAGGGACGGACACATGGGGACACAGCTGTGAATGTAAGTGTAGGCGGGAAGGAGCTGGCAGACTCAGGTCTACATGAGTGCAGGCAAGATGGTGGTTGAGTAGGAGAGGCCTTGCTCCATCCCTTGTTCAGTTGAAAACCAGTTCCCTCACATTTCCACGTTCAGCCAATGTGGCTCCCACTGGCCAACACTCCTGCCTCCCCCGAGCCTGGGGGAGTGTGGAGTCAGGTTTCTGTTGGCTGAGGGAAATTTCCTTTTTTGCTCTGAACAGGCTGATGAGATTGAGAAGATTTTGTGCCACAAGTTTATGCGCTTCATGATGATGAGAGCAGAGAATTTTTTTATCCTCCGAAGGAAGCCCGTGGAGGTGAGACTCGGCCGGGGGCCTGTGGTGAGGCTTCCGCCACGGCCCAGCCACGGGGTCTGAGCGTGCAGGCGCTCACCCGTGCAGGGCCTGTGAGGATTGGTTGCAGACCCAGGATGGCTGGTGCTCTGGCGGCAGGGCACCCACTGACTTAGTTGAGTGTTGGCCTCGGAGTGGGAGTGAAATCAGTCAGAAGCACAGAAGAAACTTGGGTCCACCTCAGCCACGGACAAGGCACAAAAGAAAGACGTGTTTCTCAGCTTCCCAGAGCCAGCGGCCTAGCAGCACAAAGAGCAGAATTAGGACTTCTTAGCTCTGTCGTCAGCTGAACGAATTTCTGAGAACCGCGGGTGACGTTGGTCTGGCTTGATATTTGAACCCACTCCACAGTTCCCGAGAAAGGCCCACTCGTCCCCAGTTAGCGGCAGTACCATGCAGGGCAGACTGGGCCATCATCCGCATGCTCACCAAGTTCTTTGTCCTGAGCCAGAATCTCGCTCCAGGTCCTGGGTCTGAGCCCTGGGACCACACTGAATAGATGTAGTTGCACTCTCGGGCGATTGCGTACCTCAGGCCCATCCCTCCAGACATCCTCTCTTCTCTAGACGAAATGTTCCCGCTGGTTTGCTTAGTGTGTCTGACTCACTCAGAAGGCAGCTGTTTGTGCCGCAGATTGTCTTCTCGGGGCATCTACTGTAGACAGGTTTCACAGCCGGGCTCAGTCAAGCAGATGCCGCGGAAGGTCCCCGGCCAGAGTCTGAGTCGGGGTGTGTAGCTTGGGAGCAGGTCACGCCAGCTGGAAGCATGTGGACGAGTGCCGGTGTGGAGGGGACACGGCTGTGGAAATGCCCTTAAGCTCATCCCCTCCTGTGTCCACTCCCTGCCATCTCCCTTCCCAGGGGTATGACATCAGCTTCCTGATCACCAACTTCCACACGGAGCAGATGTACAAGCACAAGCTGGTGGACTTTGTGATCCACTTCATGGAGGAGATCGACAAAGAGATCAGCGAGATGAAACTGTCGGTCAATGCCCGAGCGCGCATCGTGGCTGAGGAGTTTCTCAAGAATGTGAGTGGCCCTCCAGCTGCCGTGGCTGGGGTGTGCTGGGAACCAGCATCTGCTCAGGGTGTCCGGCGGCCTCCGGGTCGCAGGTATTTTTGGCCTATCAACGACCCATTCAGTCTTGAGAGCTCGGAGCCATTTTCTGTTTCCGGCTGTCTGTAGCACCCATTTTCGGGAGTGACTCCATCCCACAGTATACACAAAGTCTTTATCTCTAGTTCAAACCCAAGGGAGGCAGGTTACATAAGGACCTGTGTGAGTTTGCTCGGCACACAGGTCAGATAGTCGCAACATAATTCTACTTCTCAGGCAGACTGAAACATTGGCCTCGGGTGTCTGTCTGTCAGGGTTAGGGGCATGGTTTGCAATGCCTTGAAGTTCCCGAAGACCCTGCCATTCTAAAGAGAAGGATTGCGCTTCTCGGACGAGGAGGATTTGTGTACTTTGAGGAACTGAAGACAGAGTAGCTCTTGTGTTGACATTCAGGACCTGCGTCTTGTCTTTTTCCAAATAACCTTTGGTTTGTTGCCGTCTTCCACTCTCAGCTGACTCTCTCTGATCCCTAGTTGGTCGGCTCCCAGAACACGCCCACCCAGCCCAGGAGCAGCTCCGATTCCTGCGCATGGAAATCACTCCTAGTTCCCTGGGGCTGCCAGGCTAGACTAGCTACACTGTGGGCCCAGGATCGTGTGGTATTTCACACCCCAAAAACTGCCTCTCCTTCTCCCCACTCTGCACCCTGGGCTAGAAGGTGAGGGTGGCGCCGCCTACCTTTGAGAGAGGTTGACTGTTCAGTGGGGTAGAGTGCAAAGCCTAGCTCTTGGCACCCATTACATTTTCTAGATATTAGAACACCTGCAGACCTCTGCTTCTCTGTGAAAAGGAGCTTGTGTCTTAATTTGACATTTGGCTCCCTCATCCAAGAGCCATGTAGTTACTATGATAATTGCATTTCTACGTGAGAGTTGAGAACCCAGCTGAAAAACGCGCGTTCACAAGACTAGGAGAGAGGAGGGGGAGCACCTGGAGAGCCACCGCCATCTGCCTCAAGCCCCCTGTGGCCTCGTGGTTCCTCTCACTTTCCAGAAGACTCCCACCAGCTTTGCATGTGGCATGTTTGAGAAGTTAGCTGTGAACTCTGCACACGCTGTGTGCCAAACGCTGCTGGTCGGTGGGCAGTGCTGGGCTCGGTACTTTTCTCAGCTTCATGGCAGCTACCTGAGGGTAGAGAGGGCCTCAAGGACCTGTTCTAGTTGGGGAAGGACCAGAGCTTAATAGAAAGTTCCCGGATCTGAACCCTCATGATCCCTCCAAGGAACGCAGGCAGCCTCACCTGAGCCCGGGAAGTGGGAGACTGGGTTATGCTTCATAGCGGCCTCTGTGCAGAAGCAAAGGGGACTGTGGAGGAGCCTGCGTCGCCCTTAAACATTCTGCCTGCTCTCAGCAAGGGCCACATCCCTGCCCCTCCACCAGGTGTCCCGGGCCCCAACCTCGCCCCTCAGATCTGGGCACAGCCTCACCAGCCCCTCCCTCACGCAGCCAGCCCGGGTGTAATAATAACCACAACTCTTCTACTTCTCTCGACAGTTTTAAACCATCTGGCTGGATCACGTGGCCTCCCCTTCTGCCTCCCCCACGTCTCTGCGAAGGCATCCTGGAGTTATTTCTTGGAGCCAAGATGGCAGCTGGAGTGGGGAGCTGGGTTCGGGGTGGGCGCTCGATGAGGGGGAGGGGTGGCGTGGCGTGCTTGCTAGCTGGGCAAGAAAGCAGCCGTGGACCGACCTGCCCCAAGGCCACGTGTGCCTGGTCAAGCTGGCTTCTGATGTGCAGTCCCCTGGGCCGGGACAGGTTTTTTGTTTGGTTTTGTGTTTTTTTTAACGTCTTGAAACTTAAACTCTGTGCTTGTAGGAGACTGTAATGGTTTATTTTGTCTTGTTTTGTTTTTAAACAAACAACCTCCAGTGACGGTGACTGGTCCCAGTGATTGTACCTTATTGGTTGCTGTGGGTCTGGGCGGGCCTGGAGCCAGAAGGCGACTACTGTTCCTCCTCCTGTCACCCCACGTGGGGAGGGCGGGTGTAGACACTGGCTCCTCTCCCTGCCCGCCTGCTTGGGTCCAGATGGAAGCTGTGAGGGCCCTCTGCTAGCCTTCTAAGCGCGGCCTGAAGATGGCCACGTGGCACTGTTGGGAACAAGGGCTGAAGCAGTCAGTGGCTACCAGCTATGCTTGGGAGCCGGAGGCCGAGAGCCAGACCACCTTTGACCACAGGGGCCCTTGGCGCTCGGCCTCACCCTGTCTGCCACGGCAGGGCCTGCTGGTGATGGAGAGGCAGGCTCTCCACAGCCCAGACCTGGCCCTCCTCCCTCGCTCCCACGCTCGCTGTACTGTCTCCTAGCTGGTGGCTCCTCCCTTCCTTAATTAAAATACCTTCTTGCCCTTTGGGGCCTGCATGAGTTCTGTGCTCTGTGTGTCTATGAAAGGAGGGGAGCTGGAGGGCAGAGCCTCGCAGCTGGTACTTGTCAGATCCTGATGCCAACCCCGCCAAAGTCAGACCCCTTCTTGCAGGCTAGGCAGCATCTCCTTGGGAGCCTGCGCCTTGGGATCCTTCCCATCCTTCCCTGTTCGGTAGCTGCCGTTGAACCCCGCCAGAGAGCAAGAGGTCAACTTGAGGGGCTGTAGCACACGTGGTTAGTGAAATTAATTTACATACAGTCGTTTGAAATCCAGCTTCTCGCTCCCACTAGCCACATTCAAAGTGCTAATCATAAGTGACTAGTGGCCCCACAGCCGAGGACATAGACGTGGAACGTGTCCGTCATCACAAAGGTCTGGTCCACGGCGCTAGAGCTGTTGGGTGAGGCCTAGGAGTGGAAAAATAAAAATCCTTGAGTTTGTGGTCCAACTTGTGTGGCTGAATTTGAGCCAGTTATTTACATTGTGTGCGGCGATCCTTCGTCTGTGAGGAGAGAATGTAGGCGGCTTGGCAGCAGGCCGTTCTTCCCGCCAGCGTGGTATCTGAGCGCTGTGGTGATGACCACAGGCGGAACACCTTCGCCCTGCCGGTGAAAAAAACGTGGATTGGTGGGGTCGGGGGTAGTCCTGGGAGGTCAGGAGAAGTGGGTGTTAGGAAAAGTTTCAAGAGGAGGGGATCTTAGAGCTGAACGTTGGAAAGCGTTTTCTCCATCCCGTTGGTGGGGTTCTCTTGGAACAGTAAGGCAATAGTCTAATTTTAGTTCTTTTAAAATATTATCTTGAAATAAAACTCTGAAGTGGGGGGTGGTTTACAAGTTCCATTCAGTAATTCACACCCAGTTTATTGACTGCAATCCCCTTGATGTGCCCGCATTACCTGGGCATTGCCTCTCGTGGTTCCCGTTTCTGTGCCGCCTCTGCTGCCCCTTCTGGACTTTGCTCTTTGGTCGTGCTGCCCGTGTAATCTCATGAGTTTGATTACTCCAGGGAGCAAGAACATCCCTAGTGATCCTGGCCTGAGGGCTGAGTCAGGGCTTCTGCTGGTCACTGTTACTCTAGTAAGCCCAGGCTTGTTTTTTAAATATGCTTTGGCATTTTGGGGTGTTTTTTGTAATTATTGTAATAGTTTGATTGACATATCTTACACAATCTAGTCTATCCATTCACATACCATCAAGTGGAGTCCCAGTCATCAGTGCTGTCAGCACCACACACAACCAGAGCCCTCTGAGGGGATCTCCGTCAGCAGGTGGGGGTGGCACCAGCTCACTCTGGCCTCAGGGCTGCGGAGGGAGATCTCGCCGTTTGCTGAGTCAGGTTGTACCAAAGTTGGACGTTAAACTGGACTGTTAAGCCAGTTGACTTTGGTGGCCCACAAAGATTTTTTTTAATTTTTCATTTGGGATGCGTGTTTTTGGGAGAAGGAAAAAAAAATCAAGGTTAGGACTTTCTGTGCTTATACAGATTTAATGGTTAATTTAAAATTGATTTTTAAAATATTTTGATGAAATATATAGCATTTATTTTGGCCTTATTGAAATCTAACCCACGTTATGGAATTTTCTCATAGGATTTTTTTTTTTTTTTAAGGTGATGCTGTTAGAGGAGGGCTATCTGTTCTTAAAGGGGCAAGGGGTAGCTGTCACTCCCTTTGTGACATTTCCTCTGTGACCTCTCCCTCCCATGTGCAGTTGCAGTGAGGTGTGTCTGCTGGAGCACATGGCTGCGCACTGGGAATGCCGAGGGTTCTCACAGCGAAGGTGGATGCTCAGGAGGGTATGGCACGTTGTCACGCAGCCGCCCCCACAAGATGGGACCCCCCCTGGTGCACTGACCAGATCCTAGTTTGCCACGGGTCCAGCTCAAGGTCTGAAGTTCACCTGCCGCTGAGTGGTTTGCTTGTCAGCCTGCCCTCTCCTGGGGTGGGGGGTGGGGGGCATGTCTCCTGGACAGCCCAGTCACCAGCCAAATGGGTTCGGGCAGGGTGATCTCAATGGATGGAGTCATCTCTCCCAACAAGTTGGGAGACCCACCTCCACAGGGACAGATCTGCCCAGTCCCTGAGGACGGAGGTTCTTGGGCCAGGCTTCTCTGTTCCTGGATTGCTGGTATGGACACAAAAGCTGGCCTCACACTGCCTCTGGGAGGTACTTCCAGGGCCCCTACATTCCCTTTGCAGTGACAACACAGTCTGCTGTCAGGTTGGGCTTTGTCCTCAGACCCGGGTTCCAGTGATGGCAAACTAGAGCCTTGTGCTCATTACTTCAGGCTTTCCTACTGCCCACCGGATGATGCAGGACTGTGCGTAACTATTCTGACCATTTGTGTGTCATCCCCCCAACCAGACTTACAGGCATATAATTCACATACACAGTCCGATAAGCATATGTGTATTTCTAGTTGACTTCTGTTTCTGGGGTAGTTTCCCACCCCCTCACCTGCGGTGGAGGGGATGCATCTTAGAGCATTGCCCCCCTACGGCTCTATTCTGAGCAGCCCTGCCCTCTCCCCACCTACCTGTATCAGAAGCTGCAAGTTTCCTTGGCCCACCCTCCGCCCCTGGCAGGTTTTCTCTTCAAAGTCACTGCAAACATCCCTGAGCCACCGTGCTAAGGCACTCCGGCTCCCTGATCCCTGATCGCAGCTCACTGCTGGTTCTTGGCCCCCTCCGTCCGACCTTGCAACCATGTTAATCGTTTGCTTGCTTTGGGGCCTCTTTCCCATCCCCGCTGGGCTGAAACCTGCGGTGACACAGGGACCTCCTGTACTTGGGCCCAGCGCAGTGCGGTGGTCTTCCAGAAGCTGGAGCAGCCGAAGCCTCGACCCGGGGCACCCTGCAGGCAGGCGCACGTTCCAGAACTTGGCGCTGCCCAGCGGCGGCGCGTCCTGTCCCGCGTCTTCGCCCTCGGGGCACCGGGGCCTGTGACGCCCGTCACCGCCCGTCACCGGGCCTGCTAGACAGAGCCCTTGCTCACTCGGGGCCCGCCCAGTGAGGGTTAATTGTGCCCCGGGAATGGTTTCCAAGGCGACAGCAAACAGAGGGCGGGGCCTCAGAACGGAATTGCCCCGCTCGGCCGCTGGCGCGGCGCCGGGCCCTCCCGGGAGAGGGAG